GCCGGGTCTAGCAGTTTGGTATACATCTTGCGCATATATGTAGATAGGTTAAGGGTGGGTCGGGGATCTGTTCTGATCACAGTACATCTATCAGTAGAGGCTTGTAGATGTATTATGTTAGTTGGTGCAGTATGCTGGGCTTGTAGGCCCTGTACGTATATTTTGTTGGCTTGTCAGTTATAGTAATTATGACGGCCTTGCTGGCCTAGCTTTATGTTGACATTTAGTCAACGTCAGTCTCTATTCAGTTTTATATTTTGCATCGCACATTATCTTGCAGTGTGGCCCATGGCCAAAGTATGACATTACATGTTCATAGTCTCTTAGTCGCAAGTGGTATGCAAGGATAGGTGAGGCACTGGGTGCCGGTCTCGCCCCAGGCTCGGGGCGTGACATCAACTTCCTCTAACACGTGGAGGATATGCAGATAATGACATGATTCTTTAATTATACAATTCCACATAGTTTATTTAAGTCACAATTTCGATGGTGCATATCCATACGCCCGCCACCTAGCATGTGTGTCACCTCCAAACAAATAATAGAACTCATAATTCAAAGAACTAAGTTTAGAAGTATTACTTACCTCAAACCGTGTAATTCTTTATTTCAATATGCCTCTGCCTCGCGAGTCAACCTCCGAACGCCTCGAATCTAGTCACAATAATTCGATACAATCAACACAAATTATAGGAATCAATTCCATATGAAAATTCTATATTTTCCAATAAAAATCTGAAATTCAACTCAAAGATTTATAGTAGGGCCCACATTTCGGAACCCGACAAAAGTCACAAAATATGAACGCCTATTCAACCACGAGTCCAACCATACCAATTTTACCAAATTTCGACATCAACTCGACCTTAAAATCTCAAATCTTATTTTCAAATTCCTAGGTCCAAATTTCCCATTACACCTCAAAAACACGTAATCTAGTCGGAATACTCAATGATAATTCAATATGACTGACTAGCAATGATCACAAGCTATTTACGTCATGTTTTCCCGTGAAATATCGCTCAAAAATCGCCTCAACCCGTGTTTGAAATGTCCAAAAATGAGAAAATCTCGGACTCATCTATTTTTGTACACTGCCCAGAGATTCCGCTTCAGTAGAATTTTTAACCGCTTTTGCGGTAATTCCCCCGCTTGTTAGTTACAAAATGCATAAATAAAGGCCTATTGAGATTTATACGCTATTTAAAATGATATTTTTATGAGTACTTCTCTTGGAGAAAATAGTTCTAGGGGTAATGAGTTTGAAGAGGTGACGGAAGCAGTTGTAGAAAACCATGAATCAGCAAATTCAGCAGGTAATCATTATTTTTATTGATCTTTGTCACTTCTATCGATATTTTTACTTGATGTTATTTATTTAATCTTCATAGGTTCCAAGGTTGTAAAAAGAAAAACTAGAGGTCCTACACGGTGCATGAAAATAATTAACTTACAGAAAGGACAAAAACTACCGGTAGAATTTGATGAGGATCACCAAGCTATTGGTGAGAATGTAACCATGCAAGCAAATTAATTTGAATTTTGGACCAAACAATTAGAAGCCGAACTTGTTGCCCTTTAAAGGTAAATGGTTGGAAGGAGATTGAGTAAGATAAGATCGACCCCTTATGTGGGACATCGTCTTGGTAAGAAAAACTAACAAACGAATAAATTTATAATATTCTATAATTTCTTATGGATTAACAATTACTAGAATATATGATCATAAACTATGATGGTATTTATTTTTTATAGGAAAAGTTTAATTTTGATGTGTCCGAGGGAAGAAAAAGCACAATTCTTGGTAAAATGAGTGACCTCTATAGAGACGATCAGTACAACTTGAAGAAGAAGTATTTTGATTCAAAAGCAAATTATCAACTTCGCCTACGGAACAAGCCTAAACTTGTTGCGGCAGATGAATGAAAATATTTTGTCAATCTTTGGAGTGATGCCGACTTTCAGGTATTTAAATTATATTATAAAATAATTTGTTTATGCCTTTTTAATTATTACTCCCTCTGGTCCACAATATGTGACCAATTGCTTTGGACACACCCATTAAGGAAATATTGAATTCAATACGAAAATAGTTAGTGTGACTAAACTGTCCTTCAATAAATGTTGCACCATAGTTATAGTAGTACTTACTTCTCTTCTCAAATGTGAGGAGTAAATGACTTTTTAGGGATACGTACATAAGGGTAATTTTGGAAAAATAAATTGAATTTTTTCTTGATTATATAAATGGACACTTATTTTTGGACCAAAATAAAAAAAAAAGTAAATTGGTCACTTATTGTGGACTGGAGGGAGTATATATTTTGTAGTTTGAGAATCTCAAGTTTATAGGAAAATTAATTATAGATGTGTTTGAGATAACTAAAAGTGTTTTACTTTGTATTATTATTTTTGTGATCCGAGGTTTGGATTCCAAATGAAAATAAGCTCTCTTTTTATCACTGACCTTTTCTTATATAAGGGCATGGTACTTTTAATTGTCTTTGTATTTTCGTATTCGATTTGTCAGTTTTTATGAGTAAAGCCAAGAGCATATTAAGCTCTCTTTATATCACTACCTTTCCTTGGTAACTAATGTTCCTTGCCTTCATATATTGGGACCAAAAGTTATTCAAGACTTAGATACGAAATGGTATGAACATTATAACAATATTTTTAGAATGAATTTAGAAGAATTATATTCACATATTTTATTCAATTAATGATAACGATTATTTTTCTGCAGGAGCAAAAAAATGGAAAAGCTCCTTCTCGTGTTGAAGTCTTTATGGAATCTCACAAGAGAAAAAAAGGAAAACAAGTTGATGCTTTTCAACAAGATGTTATTGTAATGTCAATGTTCTTTTTTTTATCTCCTTTTATAGTACACATTTGTACATATTTGATTAATTTGCATTATTTGATAGTAGGTTTAATTTGACCAATTTAGAAAACAACAAAAAGAAGGAGAAATTTCTTTAAATGATGATGGTATCTTCGAAAAAGTATTTGGGGCAAAAAAAATGGATATCTTCGTGCATATGGCCTCGAAAAAAATATCAGTGAATATTTTGGTGGTAGACCAACAAAAGTACAATTTAAAAAGCAACTAGAATTTACCAGAAAATAGGCAAATGAGTGTGTGGAAGAAATTAAAAAGGAAGCTAAGGAACAAGTTGAAGAAATCAAGAATATGAATAATCAGCTAGCAGAGATGAGTAAACAATGGGAAGAAAAACTTTCAATGATACTTGCAGCACAAGGTCTACCATAAAATGATACAAATCTAATTGTAAGTAACTTATTAGACTTCTATTAATATCCTTTTTATATTAATAATTTAGTATATATGTGATTTCTTTAAGGCAATATTCATATTAAAAATAAAATTTAATTTTTTATATAAAAATGCTTCATTGTATCATTTAATTATTTGTTTTTTTATTGTTATTGCAGCTTGTGGAGGAGTAATAAAGGCGTCAAGGTCGACGGGCACATGAATAATTTTTTTCCTCTTGTCAAAGCTTTTTCATATGTTTCAAACGATGTTTTAATATTTGGAATGATATTGTTGAACCTTTATTAAATCTTTTTGCTAATATATCGCATTTATTACGTAATTGAAGATCTTATGTTACAGTTGCCTATATGTTTCATTGCCAAAAGTTGATTGTATTGTTACATAGGCTTTATATGAATTGTTGTGGATAATAATGCTTGTGGCAAATTTTTTAATTAGTAGCAATGGATTTTTTAAATTTGTAGCTAAATATATATATTGCCACATAATAAGAACATAGCTATATATTTTTATTTTCATAGCAAATGAAGAAAAATTTATTGCTACAATTTTATGCTTCATGGCAAAAGAGAATTGAATCTTAGCTATGAATTTTTGAATTTGTAGCTAAACATATATTCCTACCATAGCCACGTATCAAGAACATGGCTATTCATTTTCACTTTTCGTAGCAAATGAAGAAATATTTTTGCTATAGTTCTGCATACGTCATGGCTAAAAGTATGGAATCTTAGCTATAATATGAAAAGGTTTATGGCAAATACTTAATTCATAGCTATGGAGTTTTTAAATTGTAGCTAAACATGCGTACTATTATAGCCACGAGACTAAGGTCTGAAAATAGTCACAAAATTTGAGTTTGCATAGCAAATAAATTAAATATTTTGCTACAATACAACATTTCGTAGCTACAATAGGAAGATAACTACAAATTTTGTTCGTCGTGGCAAAAAAATAAAATCACTTGCTATAAGCATATTTTTCGTAGCAAAAACCTTTTACCATCATAGCTACAACATACAAAATTTCCGTAGCAATAAGTATTAGTCCTTAGCCACGGATCATGTAAAGTTTGTAGCTGACTTTTAGCTACACTATATTTTGCTACGGAGAAAAATATTGTGGCTAAAGTGTTAAGCCACGAAATTTTTATATTTAACTACATTACTTTTTATAGTTATAGATGTGTAATGTTGTAGTAATTGTTTTTTATGAAATCTTGGGTCCGCAATCATTGTGGATATTAGTTTATAGAGGTTTGTATATAACATTTGATGGGAGGGAAAAGTTTAGTATAGTTTATGAGTACTTTATACGGCTGAGCAGAAGAAATTTCTGTCATTATACAAATTGCATGGGAGACGCCCTTGAGCACCTAATTGCTTTGTTCTTCTGGTGCCACCTAATCTTATCCCAATTGTTTGGTACTATTTGTCAATGTACAAGTGCATTCCCTAGTTTTTTTTTTTTTTTACCTTGGTTGATTCTTTTGCTTATATGCGGCTGATGTGTATCTGTCACTGAACATATTTTATTGTTAATATTCAGTTGTTTTTTCCTATACAACAGAGTGAAGCAAGGCTTCTAAAAATCAATGAGTTCGTTTTCAAATTTATATAATTTTTATATTTCCATGCCCTTGTTCAAAAATAATCAATAGTACGTATTATACTTCAAAACCTGTTAATGTTACAAAATCTATGAGAAAAGTCTTTAAGCTATCATAGAATAAATGGTAACATTTAAGCGCAAAACTATTTCGACACAAGCTCTTGTTATAACATTTCAGAACTAGGAAATGCACATCAGTAAGAGCAACTATGTATATTTACACTTTGTAATTGAAGAAGGTTCAAAAGTAGCATGCTAGAGAAAGATGTGTAGGCAGCATTAAGCTAAAAACAACAGGGAAATCAATCAGCGGGATGAAGAAGGCAAAGGATGCCAATTATCAGCAAGAAGCATGGCTCTGTCACGAGAAGAAGTGGATATCTGTTGAAGTATAACATACTTGACGTGATCAGCTGCTGTCTCACCAGCACGAGTGGCAAGTTCCAAATACACCACAGCTTTCATCATGTTACCTTCCTGCTCAAGGAACAACCAGAGTGATGATAAGTTCATAGACAAGCGAAAGAAATAAAAGCGAAAGAAAAAAAAAAAGGAAAAAGAAGAGGAAGGTAGAGGTTTGCAGGTCCTTTTTCCTATATGAACCATTAGGCGATACAGACAACATTTTTTCCACGGACCTACTCATCCTCTGTTTAGTTATATGTGAAGGTATTTGACCGAGCACATAGTTTAAGAAAGAAGAAAAGATTTTCGAAACTTATGGCCTTAAAATGCCATGGCAGTTTTGTGCCTATAAAATCATGTCAGTGAGGGTAAAATGGGAGATCTAAAGTTAAATTGTTTCTAAATGCAGAAAATTGTCATTCTTTTTGGAACATAAAAGAGTGTAACATAAAATAACACAGAGGGAGTATTGTTTTTCACAATCTAGTCATAAAGAAGTTGGGAAGGGTTGGAGTAGTGCAGTGGGAGGATTTATGTAGGCTCTACTTACGGAAAATATACTAAGTCCATGCTCAAACTGGGCTTTGCTATGACCTCGATCAGCTGCTCTCTTCATCCATTTCCTTGCAAATTTATGAGACTGCGATAGACCTTCTCCCACTGAGTAGCATATTGCAGTGTTATACATGGCACGGACATATCCACCTTCTGCTGCCTTCAGATACCACCTTGCCTGCACTTCAAAAAGAGAAAACACTTTCAGAAGCAAAGTTATCATAGGAACAACCCAGTCATCCGTATAGAAAGCCAAAAGACGAATAACATTTTCTTCAACCATAATGGTGAATTTGAATTTTTAAGTACAAAATTCAAGACAACTTTTCACAACTCTTCTTTTTGTTTTTGGCAGGCAATGTTGTCATAATTCCAAATTGTGAAATTTCAGAACCTCAGAGGATGATTTGATCTAGAACTTGAATAATATTGACCCAAAGTGATATTGGACCTATGTATATGTTCGTCCTACATGCATGGCAAGATAAAATTTAGTGATCTACATGGTGTTTTCAGTATGCATGGCAAGATAGACAAATCCATAAACAGGGAAGATATCCCTTATTTATTTTTGTCTGTGAAATTAAATGGTCACAAAACAACTGGTCTCAATCCAAACTAGTTGAGTCTGCTCTGTGAAGTTAATGGTTAAACAAGTATAATTTTCATACCGCTTCCTTAAGATCCCTACTCGGGCCACGACCTTTATGTAAACAAAGGGCAAGCTGGTACTGAGCTCGAACATAGCCTGCAATAGAAGCTTTGTACAGCCATTTGATAGCCTCCTCAATGTCTGGTGGATTAGCTGCATAGAGTATAAAGAGATCATTACTACATAAAGATACAATAACCAGAGTAATGAAAGTCAAATCTGAAAGTTGTAAAACAAATGCTTCCGTTTGTGCTCAGTAAGCTTGACAGAGAACTATGCTACTGCAAATCAAACGCAAAGTTCTGGTGGGAGCTCTCGGCGATGAAATGACTTCACATGCGTATGTGGACTTCTAATTCTATTACGTAGCATTCACCATAAGTTGATGCATAACAGTAAACCACCAAAAACTGCTGGTAGTGAGCAGAGCCTACTCTGGTTCACTGACACAATCACCAGAGGAATAATAAAAGAAAAGGACAAAAATTATCGGAAAATGTGCTGCTGACTTGCTGCCTTCAACTTCTCCGAAATAAGTTCTGCAGACTGCAGAGGCCTTCCAACAATCCACTTCCCCACCCTTGCATTTAATGGTTCTCTAGCAAAAGGGTAAACTTCACAGTTTTCAGGTGTTGGAAGGGGAACTTCAACCAATTAAATAGTAGGAGGGGCTCCACATAACCTCTCCCAACTTCTAGTACTTCTTACTTCCCCCTTAAACATTATTCTTTCTTTCATTACAACGCATTTTGCAGCTAATCTTCTGTAATATAGCTCTCTCAACCCCACTTAATGTGATTGCTCCAATAACTTGGCATTGTAACACTTTCTTGCACAACTCTGCTATCAACGGCTCTCAGGCCAAAGCCATCAAGTCATGCCAGTTTTGCACAATCTTGCTGTCAACAGATTGGTGTGAAAACGATGGGATTGTGGCTGGAGGACTTGGCAAAAACAGAAGTTTTTTGTTAGCTGGTGGCTTGTGGTTGTAAACCGGCAGCGCCTGCGAAGGCGTTTACTCCATAATTGGTATGAAAGAGCTGGCTTAAGGGTAATAGGATTCTCCAAAAGAGATCCCAAAACAGTTCTGATTTTATTTTAATGCTTTTCTTTTTCAGAAAGGATATCAGGGAGACTGCAGGGATAAGATGTCGTAAAGGAAGTTAAAGGGAGAAAAGTGCCAACCTCAGGGATGTTTAAGGATATATATCACATTTCCTGAAACAACTAAAGCACCACTAGTTCAATAAAGACCAAGTGAGCAAGAAGAAAAATGAACAACTGGAATCACCTCACCCTCCTACACCTAACTTTCTCAATTTTGGACAGCACGCTCAATTGGTGATAATGATTAGAGAGGGCATCACAACAAGATTTTAGAGAAATATTAAGTCCACATAAATGAACGAAAGTACACTAGCGAAAACAAGAGAGAGCTATACCAATATAAATCAAGTAAAATCTGAAGCACACATTACTAACTCTTAATGCTGAATGAGAATCACAAACAGACAAAGCATAGAAAGAAAAAGCATGGATCTTTGGTTACTAAACATTGTGATTGGACCAAGCCCGCTATTAGTAATTTATTCATACAATTAAGGCTGCTAAATCTCATACACACCAAAGAAACTTGCGCTCATTTTGATACAAAAATCTACAATCTCTCTTTCTTTCTTTCTTTTTTGTCGGGACAAGTAAGCTATTCATTTCATTGATTGCAGCCAAATTTCTAAACTATGCAATACTGTTAATATAAATGTTTTTTGTCCATCAGGCGTATTCTCCCAAGCACCCTACTAAAATCTATGTGCTCATACTTGTGGCAGTTTGAAGTACTGTCAGTTCAACAGGAGGATCGTCCTCCCAATTTGAAGTTAAGTTTTTTAACAGAAAGTTCAATCCTTGGCACCTACGATCATAAACTATGACAACCTTCACGACTGTAAACAGTTCTTGTAATTATGACAGGCAGGGGCATAGCTACATTTGGTAAAGGGGGTTCCATTGAATACCCTTCAATGGAAAATTGCACTGTGCAAAAAGGATAAAATCTTAGGTGTGACAATTTAACATTACATTGAATCCCCTTACTCGAATTTCTGTCTCCACCACTGACGACAAGGCCATACCCTTGGATCTCTCCTTCACATAGGACGAAAGTTCCTTTTTTTTTCTCAAACATAGCAAGATAGTTAATATTCCATATTAAGCAAGAAAATGTAAGTTAGTTACCTTCCAAGAGGGAAATGCCCAAGTTACACTGACCAGCAGGGTCACCAAGTACAGCAGCCTTTCTATAAAAGGAAACCCCTTGTTCCTTTCTCCCCATTTCCCAATAAAGCAAGCCAGCATCAACCATAGCCAAAGTTGACCCACGAGCCGCACCTTGAAGGAAGGAGTCAAGTGCCTTATTCAAATTAACCTCAACCCCACCACGCCCATGCTTGAAATTCTTACCATATTTGAGAAACAACATGGCTTCTCTTAAGGGTCTAAGTGCATCACACCAAGACTTGCATACCTGTGAAGCAGCACGTAAATTTGGCAAAGTGAAAGTGGCAGCTATTTTCAATAACACGTCGTTAGGGAGTTGTGTGAAATTATCTGTGGAATGTTCTTGATTTGATGATGAAATTGGATTGAATTGGAGATTATGGTTTGTGGGGTTGTTTTTTCTTGGATTATGATTTTCGGGTGTTTTTGACATGAATGAAAAGGCGGTGAAACGAGGACCGATTTGTGTGGCCATGTTCTTTGATTCATCATCTGGTATTCTGTGGGCCCTGCAGCTGCCATTGAAATGAATTCAAGTTTGTGAACCCGAATTCTATTGAAATCGGAATGAAAGGGAGCTGTCAAAGAATTAAAGAAATGGGGGTAGGAGAGAGATTGAGGGGTATCGGATTCTGAAATGGGAAGGGAAGAGGAGAAAAGGAAAAGACAAACCTTGGAGTTTTGGGGCACTACATGTTTAGCTTGGTTGAATAAACAAAAGAGAACATAACTCTTTGATTGGCTTAATAATTAATTTGGTATTAAGTAAAAAGAACATTTACAACAAGTAATTTTACATTATATTAATTAATATTAATGTATGTAACAGACTCAACATCATCATTATATAAGTGTAAGTAATTTCCATATATAATGTGTAGCAACAATTATGTGACCCAAACAAGTCGCTGGATAAGAGGTTGGAGGTCAGGGGTGTAGGAGGGAGCCGTGTAGTGGGTTTTGTGATGGTCGTGGGAAACGCGTTGTCAGGTGTCACGTCCGATGTTTTCTCACGAAATTTACGTGCACATATGATAAGCAACTAACTGCACATCTTTTTCTTTCTTTCTTTTCGGTTTTGTCTGCGTGTGGAAGTTGTGATCGATGTTCTCAATTGAAGGAAATATAAATGAGACGACATGCAGAGAATGACTATTCCTTTGCTTTTATATTACCTTCTAGGGAGAGAAAAAGATAACTATATATACATAGAGGTGAATCTCAAAGTTTAGAGTTATTAATTGATTTAAAACGAATGCAGTTTGTGTGATACTTCCTCTATTTCAATTTAAATTTTTTTTTCTTATTAGTCTGTTCCAAAAAGAATGACATGTTTTTATATTTAGAAATAATTTATCTTCTTTTGTCTTCTTAAACTTTGCGTCAAGTCAAACTACATCATTTAAATTGAAACAATGGGTGCAGTAGTATATGTGTATATGCATGTCCAATCAAAAAGTAGTTGGTGTAAAGCGTAAAATATCCTCTATCAAGGCCAAATTGGCCTCGGTATTATCATATAACACCAAAAATGGACAATTCGGTGCACTAAGCTCTCGCTATGCGCGGGATCCGGGCAAAGGCAGGACTACAAGAGTTTAAAGTACGCATTTTTACCTTGTAGTTCTGCAAGAGGCTGTTTCGGCGGCTTCTAATCACTTGGCAGCAATTTTACCAGGGGCGGATGTTGATACCCAATTTTTCCCTGTATATTTTTCATATATACAAAGTACTTTCAAAATAACATATGTACGCATATATAAGCATGCCCAAGTGTTTTAGTATTTTTTCCCAATTTTTAAAGATTTAAAATTAATTTATTGCTCATTTTAGCAGTATAAAAACCAATAATTATTCCCAAAATCATTATTTTGGTGGATAAGTTATTTTATTTTTCATATTTATACCAAAATATAGTTAAGGTAATTTTTATATATTTTTACAAATTTATTTGGTATTTTTAAAGCTAAATTGCATATAATTGCAATTCTAGCCTACTTTAAGATTTAATAGCATTTTTGTAATTATAAAATTGGTTCCAATATTTTTAAATCAATATTANTCATTTAGATCAACGACCACGATTACCCCTTACCTTTTTTAATTCACTAACCCTACCCTAATCCACTCATTTCCATCTCTCAGCTGCCTTTGAATACTCTTCCTCTCTCAAACTCTCTCGAAGGTTCCTGAAACCCTAGCCTCTCTCACCCCTCTTCAACCGCAATCTCACCGGAACTCATGGCTTCTCAGGCCATGGATGACATGTACTCACCCTCCTCCACCATTAAACCCTGGGTGTTCAAAGTTTCAAGGTCCGATATCGATGGTGTCCTTTCAGATCTCTACAGATCTAAGGTTTTATGGCCTCTCCAGCCTGGCTCCGGCGTATTCAAGCATCAGAAGCCTATTTCTGACCTCTCTGACTCAAGATCAGACCTTCTTCCAAGCCTTTCTCATTTCTAGGGTTTCTCTGAAACCCTAAGCTATTCGAGGTTTTTCTCTGGTTGTTTTCTTATATCTATGCTATGTCTGTGCTCTACTTGAGTTCTTAAACGTTTTCCCTAATTTTCTTTCAAAAATTACTTCTCTTCGATTTAGGGTCTCTGAAAAGGTTTTAAAATGTTTTCTGACTCCTCTTCTTCTTCTCTTTGTGTGAATCTGTCTATGCTATGTTTTTATGTTCTCTTTTCTACCTCGCATGTCCTTCTCCTGTGTTCTTATGTTTGCCTTATTTTGCATGTCATTCTATTGTGCTCCGTTCTTTCTTCTACCGGTTTCTATATCATGCTTTCACATTTTTATCTTATGTGTTCGTTTACCCCTATATTCCTTTACTGTATTGTCTACTAAGCTTTTAGGTCTTTAGTTGCCTTCTTTTGGATTTTGTTTGAGTTCTTTGTTAAACATGTTTCCTCTACTATTCTCTTAAGTGCTATACTATCTCGTTTCTTTTCTGAAATTTGTTTAAGTTCCAAGCTTTCTTAAAACGTGTTCTTTATTCTTCAAATCAATTCTTCATTCTATTTGCCTTGAACCTGCTATTTTATCTATTTGTTTTCACATGAATCCCTGAAAGAGACCTCTGAGCTTATTTCAGTTATTTGTCTTCTCTTCTCTGTATCTGACTCGAGTTGAAAACTCTGGGATTTGGGGGGTGTTTGGCGAGTTTGATCTTAAGTTTTGGACTAGGATTCTATTTGGGACCCTAGACACTCTCAAACTCATTCTGAGTCTATGTACTGGATTTGAGTCTCTTTGTTATGACCTGGAACTCTTCTATACTAGACTTTTTCGCATGATAGTTCTTTCTTGTTCGATATGTCTGTATGCTTTATATATGAGTAATTTTGCCTTCAAAAGCTTTTGTCAACTTGTGATTGATTCGGAATTCCTCTTAATAAGGTTTGATTGATTGTTACTGGTTTTCCTTAAGTAAAACACTTTCCTCATTTTTCCTGACTTGGTTCATTCGAACAAAGCCTGCAATTTTGATTTCACTGGCTGTTGAGTGACCATCTTTCCTTATTTGCACAAACCATGTACTACTGGACTTTTGCCTTAAATAACTTCTGTGTATTTACCCTTCTTGTGCTACTTTGGAAAAGATTTTGATCAAACTCTTTCCTTAATTATCTCGCCCGTTTGAAATCAGAATCCTTTAATTGAAGGGAGACCTTAGTTGATATATTTCAAAACTATTTTCTTACCTTTTCTTACTTGCTTTCTGCACCATAAAGGGTACGACCCTTTTGCACTTTTACACACTTCCAATTCTATACTCTTTAAGACCTTGAGTTCAATACTCTGACAACACTTATTGAACACTTTCAATTTCAATACTCCTACATTCTCAATTCAATACTCTACTCTCTTCTGAAATCTTCTGGCTGTGTGTTTGCAATTTGGCTTTACTACTGCTCTTCTCTTCTTATTTCCTTGAAACTGGTATGTTCTAATTTAACTTTCAGCTTCATCCCTATGTGTTTGCTTTACAGTTTCAACAATCTTTTCTATTTTGTTGTTTATGTTCTGTATTGAATATACTGTCTCTTTGCATCTGTTGTTGTGTGAATTCTCCATACCCTTATTCCCTTCTATGTGTTTGAGTTAAAGTTCAAAGCATGGCAACATCCAAATTGTTGCTCATGTCTGGACTTGATCCTTTAATG